GGAAGCCAATTTCAAGGAAATCAGGCAAGAGACTCTGGAATGCCTGGCTCTGGTTTTTGCCTTCCAAGCTCCAGAGCTCGCCGACTACCGCGTCCGCTTCCTGCGCAAGCTGGACGAGGACGACAAGACCACCATCGACGATTTGGCCAAGGAATACCATGCCTGGAAATCGGTCAAAGATGACTCCAGAGGATCGATCGAAGCTGCCAATCACAAGAGATCATGCTGTCCCAGAAAGAGAAGAAAGCGTCTGCCTGCGGCCCCCAAATTCAGTCCTGCCGACCCTCTACCGGTGTCCAAATCTGTCAGGCAGCAACACTGGAAAGAAAGGACTGTCGCAGAAACCGCACGATACCGAGTGCCACCTCAGGAGTCAAGACTCAAGGCCGGCGACATCGCATCAAAGCAGTCAATCACCACGGACACGCTGGTACAACAACGCGTCATCGCCGTCCCCAGGAGATGTCCAAAGTACCTGGAAGTTCATATACAGACGGGAACATCCCACCCGCCTGCCTAGTTGGACAGCCGGCGGCCGACGATACCATCATTTCTCGTCGCAACTTGGGATGGCAGCTCGGAGCCGCTACCTACAGAAGACGCATGGCCGACGTCTTTCAAAAGGAGCCAAATGGATCCCCACTACCAATTCACGGAGGCTTCGAGAGCCGCTATTCGTGGTCATGGACAATCGAGGGAAGGCTCATCCCGGACATGGCACCTGCTATGTCTCTGACAGACAAACGGACGGCTTCTCGGCATCACAATGGATCGAGCAGATTCCAGACTTCGACCACGTTTTGAGGAGATTCAACGTGCAGAAGGTTCAAACACTGAACAACGAGGCCCTCCGAGACCAAACGATCGCCAAGCTGAAGCACCAATTCATGGATGTCTTCGAGCCCGGACTTGGATACTGCACCAAGACCAAGGCGACACTCGGAACGGCTCAAGCCGGCGATGGCTCGCCCCAGTCTTCATCGAAGAAGAGGACCGCGGTTCCGCTACGCCTCCATACGCTTCGTCGACGCCGAGAGTCGGACGCGTGCTCATGGGCAGCAGGACGTCATCAAGCCCCGTCCACTCACTCTCCGGATGGAGCTTGCGGCAAGATCGTCGTTGTGAGAAAGGCCAATAGGTACGCATTGCGAGCTGTGGAGGCCGGATTTCCTCGACGGGAACTGCAACGAGCGCATTGGCTGTTGAGCAATAGGCATAGCCACTATCCCCCCCACCGCGGAGGATGTTTTCAGCAAAAGCTCAAATGGCGGAACTTGTCTTTTCCACAAATCGGGAACGGCGTTCGGCGCGACGCTTATGCTGCAGGTCGAATTAGTTGTCGATGACGACTCTCCCAGAGAGGCTACTCGCACCATCACACGCAACAGAGACTCTAGACAGATAGCAATGCGCTACGGCGTTGCGTAGTCAAGTCAGGCTGCCTGGCATCTTCCAGCAGATCATGCGACTCCGGATGATCGCTGGACTGCAACTTGCGTTGGGGCTGCCTACCTCGACGACGTCATCGTCACCGGCCGCACTCTCTCCGAGCACAACGCCAACCTGGAAGCCCTATTTTCAAGGATATCCGACTACGGCTTCCGCGTCCGCATCGACAAGTGCCACTTCGTGATGACACAGCTCACCTATCTTGGAAACGTCATCACTGCTGCCGGACGCCGACCCGATCGCAAAGAAAGATCGACGCTGGATCTCGGCAAGATGCCAAACCCCAAAGGAATACGCCAGGGCCGGCTCCATTCCTGACCGACTTATCAATCACGTACGGAGCATTCGTTCCGGAGATGCGCCAAGCTCCGCAAGCACCGCTCGACGAGGACTACACTAACTCCAAGAAAGGAGCCTCCCGTTCAAACTTGGAAACTCCGACATGCGAGGAAGCCGCTTCGATCCGCGCCAAGGAAGTGCTGCGCTTCGGGACCTGCTCCTTGCTCACTAGATAACGACCTGCCAAGTTGCCCATCATCGTCGCGGCCGACGCTTCAGACTATGGGATTGGAGCAGTTATTTCTCATCGCTATCAAGACGGAACTGAGAAAGCTGTCTACCATGCCAGCCGCTCTCTCACCACGGCGGAGAAGAACTATGGCCAAGTGGAAAAAAGAAGGTCTGGCGCTCGTATACGCCGTCCGGAAATTCCATCGCTATATCTACGGGCGCCGCTTCACCTTGCTAACGGACCACAAGCCCCTTCTGGCAATATTCGGATCAAAGAAGGGAGTTCCGGCCTACTCCGCGAACCGACTGCAACGATGGAGACTTACAATGCTCGTGTTGGACGATTTCAACATCGAGTACCGAAACACCGCAAGCTTCGGACAAGCCGACGCACTGTCTCGTCTCATCGCCATGCAATCGCCTCCGGAAGAAGACGTCATCATTGCCACTATCTATACGCGGAAGACGGTAAACGCCATCTTCGCCGAGAACGTGAGCCGCTTACCAGTCACTGCCAAGGAGGTTGCCCACGCCACCGCTGCAGACGACTGTCTCCGTCAAGTCATGGACCATATCGCCCACAACAAGCATTGCCCGAAGGAGCCGACGTGGCGGCCCAACAGTTTGCGAGATACGCACCACCTAAACGCAAAACGAACTCTGCGGCAGCAACGAGAGGATGCCTGCTCTTTGGGAAGCCGTATTGTCATAGCCGGCCGCATCACTCCGCAGCCGTCTGTTCTTGAAAATGCTACACGAAGGGCGCATCGCAGGGCAGCATGAGGAGGCCGGAGAGTAGCCGAGGGGAGTCACCCGAATATAAAGCCCTCGCTCGTCAATATGTCTTCTGGACGAAGATCAACGAGGATGTGGAGAAACTTGTCCGCGCCTGCAACGATTGCCAAGAAGCCGCCAAGTCGAGCGACAGTCAAGGAATAACGCTCTGTTCTTCGGCCTCGTTCGGATGCGCGCATGGAGGCCGGGAGGGTCCACATCGGACTTTGTGCCGGCCGCAGCTTGATGGAATGTCGTAGCCGTGAGTGATCGTCGGAACCGGCATTGCTCCAAATGACCCGAAGTCATTTCAAGTGACTATCTTAATGCCGACCGAGGCACGCACAGGCTGAAAGGAAACTCCGTCGCAGCTGTTCGCTCAATTCGGATTCCCTCGGATCATCGTCTCAGATAATGGAACTCAGTTCACCGCAGCCGAGTTCCAGGATTATTGCAAGAAGAAAGGAATCCGGGAGCATATCGGATGCGCCGGCCCTCCACCCCGTCCACATGCGCAAGGATGGTCAAGCTTGAGTGGCTTCGTGACACATTTAAAGCGCACGTTGCAGGAAGCTGAAGAAGCAGCGGACTGAACCGAACGAAGCTCTCACAGACATTCTTCCACAGTCGGGAAGGTGTCCCGCAGAAATATTCTTGAAGACGCCTTCCAGAACAAGCTGATCTGGCTGAAGCCAGACATCAAGGAGAAAATGTTGGGGCGGACTACGAAAATGGAGAAGGCCAGTTCAACGCGCCATGAATGGGAGCCAAACACAGGAAGTTTCAACCTGGAGATAAGGTCTACGCTCGTGACTACAGATCCGGACAATCCAGATGGACTCAAGGACGGATCCTATGCCGACGTGGACGCACCGTGTACGACGTTCAAGTCAATGGATTCATATGGAGACGCCACGCCAACCAGCTAATTCCACGTGCATCGACGGAAGCTACACAAGAGCTGATGAGCGCCTTCGACTTACCATTCAACGCCACATCGCCTTCATCTTCAACGACGACTTCGACAACATCCCAGTCTTCGATGGTTGCTGCTGCTCCAACAACAACAAGTGCCTCCAGGGCCGCTGGCCAGAGACAGAACGACCGCAAGCCGCACTCGTCGCCCTCACAGATTTTCTTCAGATTGAGCCCCGAGTACGCTAAATGCGTACGGCTAGGCGAGAGTCAATCTTAGGGGGGGAGGTGTTGGGGACACTGTGATCTATTACATGTAGGTATTTGATCTTGTGTTGTACTAGGTCTGCCTGGTTTGACTCGATCTTTTGACCAGGCAGAGGAGTATATATAACGGGTTATTTTCTATGTTGATATACTACTGTCTTCCAATAAATATTGTACTGCTGCCTCAATCTCAAGGACAGTTTGCACGCGATACGATCCCCTTTCCCATTCCAGTCCTACCTGCCATCCCTCTGCACTCTCTCTCAACTTTCTATCACTTTTCCGTGGTCTTTTTTCAGAAACGTCCTCCTCTTAGACAAAAAATAAAACCTAAAGAAAACGTGAGAAAGGGGAGCTCCCGTCAGCGAGCAAATACGATCCCTCACACTGAAGACCTCCCATGTAAGCCGTGCGGTGTACCTTCAGGAAGCTTTGCATAATGATTGCCGTTGGGAGAAGTTGCTGAAAGCACACTACCGCCCCGCAAATTTTTAGGTTTTTCTTACAGATTGCAACATGCAGAACATGCAGGCGCATAATATTCATGCGCAAGGGGTCATCAAGATAGAAGAGTTCAGAAACGAGCTCCCGATAATGGTACAGTCGCCGTCGTCTCCGGAGCTCATTCTAGAAAAAAATCTGCAGAAAAAAGGTGGATAGCTTGACAGCAATCAGGCATGGATCACGCTGCTCACGACAGAAGCTGCTCAGGCAGGGACGATTGCATAAAAGTATACGATATAGTGTTACCTCTTCCATTAGGGGCCGTTCGGGTTCACATGGCAGCTGCAAACAACAATTACAACTTTCTCATCAGTAATAGAATTGAAAAACAGGATGCTTGGAACAAACACCCCCAAGAACTGAAGATGTAATTCAGATACTGTTTTATTTTGGGAACTGGGGCGGCGCAAAAATGCCTCAGTTGGCTTTACACGGTTTGAGAAAGAAAACGACTATCCCATTCACAACATCGAGCTCCCAGCAACAAAAGCAGTTACCAAAAGAAGGGGTTATTGTCAGTTCCCCAAGACCTCGATAAGAATCGGGGCTCTTCGTAGGGGAAACGATGCTCTTGAAGAACGCTAATAAAAGCCTACCTGCTCTATCGTGAGCGGTTGTTCAGAATCGAATGATGTCATGTGATGACGAGAGTGAGCTAGCGGCCCTCTCTGCAGCGATTGTGCTCCTCTGTTCGTAATGCAGCCATTCGCAGATTGGGAATCTTAAAAAAATAGATATATGAAAAATCACGCGAAGGAAGGTCTTCTGACTGCTGGAAAACGTCAGGGACACATATGGATAATTCCAAAACACGTTCCACATCATGGAGATTAGGAGTGGCGCGCCTAAGGACAATATTTGGAGCACGGCGCCTGTGTATCTGCCGACCCAGGCGCGGAAAGAACCACGGTGCGGAAACGCCTTGTTGCGCAGGTTGACCACTCTCGTTTAAACCATGTGATCCAAATAAGCTGGCACCGTTCCGCCGCCTGCAGAACTTCACAAAATTACCAGATATCTTGACAGGAGTTCAGTGAATACTGCCCCTCTTCGAATTCCCCCTCCCTCCGGGTTACATGTGGATGATTCCTAGCGCAAACTTTGCTACGATATCACAGCCTACCGTGCTTATTGTTTCCATTGGAGTTGTTGTGACCTGTTCGATTCCTGCAAGATCCATTGGTCCAAACCTGCGATGACCGCACACGCTCCTTGCGACGTTCAGCACTGAAAATAGCGACTTTTAATATCTCTAGGCTCAAAACTTGAGAATAAAATTTGAGCTTTTCCAATGCTGCACCACACTTCAGCACTTTGTCTGACTACATTACCCTCACTTTCCCGAAGCTAGCAGGTTGGAACAGACATACTACCCGGAGATGGGTGACGTGGCGGTGAACTTCATTTAAACATAGCAAATGATGTTTTCTTCCGGGATCCCACAATTTGAGACAACTGTCATCCTGTCTCAGCGGCTGGGACGAGAGAGACATTATAGGACGAATTCTTGCCAAGATGGACAAAACAGGGGAAGAAATCGGCAGTATACTCACCGTGAGGCTTCACACCGTTTCCTCAGTTCAAAGTGAAGTATAGGCATGGGCCGGCCTGAAAAAAGAGAAATTCGGGTCAGAGTCACATATCAGTAGAGTATTCGCAAGCCCGCAGACAAGAAGAACGTAGATAGGGTTACCAGAGGGCGGAAGACAGCCGCAGGGATGTTCCTCGATAAGCAGGAGCTGGCCCTCGCCCATCACCTTCATGTACACCGAAGCCTCCAATCGCAGCCTGACTGGAGAAGGCCTATGGAATTCACGTCACCTCCAAACAGCTGCGAAACTTCTTGTATGGAGTCACCCATGGACAGCTACCTGGAGACCAGCACTCTTGATCTGGAAGACCTCCAACATCGAGCAGCTCCGACAACGTCGCTACGGTCATCATCTTCACCGCAGTCGCCAAGGCGCGGGTTGATGGTATGGACCGGAATGGGAAGACCGATATTTTCTTCGTGGACCCCGGACTGAAGGTGAGCGCTGACGGATCAACTGAGCAACTCATGAGCAACTCGAGGAAAACCGAGAACCCTCCCTTCATGTCGTCGCCCGTACCATCTTGGAAACTTTGTACTGCTACAGGATTGGGTGCACCACATGGAATCGAAGGGCGTTGGAAAAACTCTCGCCTACTTGGAATGGAAGGGCGTTGAGTACCTGAAGAAGACGGAATATCTAAGTGTGTCACCTGACCTAAACCCCCTCGATTACCGGGTTCGAGCGGAGCTCAACAGGGTGGTCTACAGTGGCGGAGAAATCAACGACCTCGCTGAACTCAGGCACCGAATCACGGTCGCGTGGCAGAATCTCTCGATGGCGCTCGTCCAGAAGGCGGAGTATCGTGATAGTGTACAATGTGTTGTTGAATATGATGGTGGAAATGTCCAATCAGAATTTAATAAAGTGTAACTTATATCGCCTTGAAAGTCGAGGAAGAAAAGTGTCTTTTTTTGCCCCCCTGTATATGCAGCAACTCTCCTCCCCTTGAATAATGCCTACTTACTTTACCCTACTCAGTGATAGCGGGTAAGCTGTGCTCCGGGCGTTCAATCGATGAGATCTTTTTATGTTTTTCAATCATGGACCTGCGCAGCTTGTCTCAGGAGGGGCACTACGGAAGCGTGAGTTTTTGTGAAGTTACGTAATGACACGATTTTTACTTCAGTACACTTCCCAAATATTGCTTCGCCAACCCCGGATCTCCTTCCATCTAGTCTTGGGAAAATTTGCATATCCCTAGCTAAGGATCGTCCTTTTGTACCTTCTTGCAGAAATGGTACCGAACACATCAATCAAATCAAAGAAGAAATGACGTCGAAGAAGGGATGGCATGTGAAAGAAGCCTGCATAATTTCATGACTTGACAGGAGTTGACAGGTGTCCACAAAACGGCTGTGCACATTGACAGGAATTCCCTGAATGCCCCTCCCTTATTGCCTTCTCAAGTCAAACTGTGGCTTAAGCGAGAATTCGTCGTTAAACCCAGGCTTCTAGCGGTCCAGAGCTCGTCCAGAGCACGACATCAGTCGCCATGGTGCTTACCTTCTCCCCATTGC